TATATATATAAAATAGAATAAGTATGTCCCCATTTATAGCTGAGTTAATGTTTATGTCTGTGTTTGTGGATGCATGTCTGTAAATTATGTTGATGTCTTATTTTTCTTTCTGCAGAACCGCATGCACGAGTCCTTGAAGCTGTTTGACAGCATCTGCAACAACAAATGGTTCACAAACACCTCCATCATTCTCTTTCTCAACAAGATGGACATATTTGAGGAGAAAATTAAGAAATCTCCCTTAAGTATCTGCTTCCCAGAGTATACAGGTAAACTCAGTACCCTGCCGTTTAGCAATGCGAGCAAAGGAAGAAAGGATGAGGCGAGGATTGTAGAAAGACATTCTCTCCAGATGCCAATTAGCACAATAAATCTTCAGGAAAAGAACCATCCTGTTATTTTATTCCTTTTGGATGGATTCACACCCCTAATCTGGACAGCTTGCATTTCTGTATTCTCCAGCACTGAGGGGAAAACAGCCAAAACAGTCACCTGCTATTCCCTGTTCATTTTTATTTTGTAGCTCTGAGCTTTTCATCTTCCTCCATAGCTACTCTTAAACACTTCCTCACCCATTATACTGAATGATAGATGGAAGACAGGCTGCACAAACAATCACAAATAAGTTTGAGATACAGAAAGAACTTTCCTGAGAATGTGCTGAGTAACTGTAGTTGGCAGAAGAAATTTTCGCTGCCTGAGGAAATGTATCTCAGTATTTGCTCAGTATTTTTTTCTACTGTCTGAAGTTTTGATGACTTTGAATCAAAGCTGATATATATTTTCTCTGTGTGTTAGTTAAGAGTATACATGACTGATAGATGATGACTTGATCATCCAAAAAGATTTTGTCTTGGCTATAATGTCAAGGGCAATCTTAACACTAGTTATGAAATATATTTTATATACAAATAATTTTTATAAATTTAAATCTAAATGAACACTGTTTCTGACATATCTGCAAAATCAATTGGTACAAGGTATTCAGTAATATTAATAATATTAATATTGATAAATGTTTTTAGTATTAGTATTAAGTATTAAATAAATGTTTTTAGTATTAATATTAAATAAATGTTTTTAGTATTAAGTATTAAATAAATGTTTTTATTACTTTGTAAAAAAATATATATATATAATGTGCGCAAACCTTTTTTTTACTTTACTTTAGTGTTCAGTTTTCTGTTTTTATTCTCTTTTGCTCCCTATCCAAATTTTTTGTTTATTTAAAATATTGGCCTGTTTTTTTATTTATTCTTCCTTTATTCATCTGCTGCTTTTCCATCCTTACCTGACTCATCCTGTGCTGCAGGTTCAGACAAGTTCATGGAAGCGGTGGGCTACATTCAGTCCCAGTACGAGAGTAAGAACAAGTCAGTCGACAAGGAGATCTACTCGCACATCACCTGTGCTACAGACACAAACAACATTCAGTTTGTCTTCGATGCTGTCACTGATGTCATCATCGCTAACAACCTGCGCTTCTGTGGCCTTTACTAACCCACAGTGATACCCAGCTCTTTCACAACCCCTGAATACAGTGCCAACTGTTGTCAGATATGTGACATTTTGTCTTTGTTTTATACTTCTAAATGCCTCCAGTTGTGTCCATCTCTGATAGTTCTCACAGAGCTTTTCTTTAATTTATGTGGTAAATTTAAACCGTAGGTCTGAACTCAACTATTAATTTTTGTACATTGTTACAAAATATAGGAATGTTCTTTGAATGTCCTTCTTGACACTTTCCTGGTGTGTTAGAGTGAGGTCAGGAGATACTTTGAGTAAAAATTGGTGCCAAACTCCCACTACTTCCTATTTATTTCTATTGTAACTGAGCTTGTAAAGTCAGACATATTCTTTTGTCCTTATTACACAGTATGCAGATACATAATTAGAGATTCAATGAGGTTATGCGGCGATATTTTAAATTCCAGTGACTATGTAAGTGGCACTATAATGATGTTCTATTCACATGCATTATTTTCAAATGAATGCATTATGGGATATGAATTTCGGTGAATATTCACAAGCTGGCTCATATTACATGTGTTCTGAGTTAGCAGCAATCTCAGAGTGTTGATGAAACACTAGGCTTGACATTTACTTGGCATTTAGAAGAGAGTGCAAATGTCCAATGCCCTGAGCCAAACCACAAAAATGTTAGCCTCTTAGCATCCTAAAAAAACAACAGGACGTGTTACTCTTCAAAATTGGATTTTGGACCTTTTAAACCAGACACCCAGGAAATTCCAAAGATACAAAATCTTCCTTATTTGTTAGCGTTTTGCATTTTGTTGAGACAAAGCTGATTTATGAAGAGAGAATAACTAGATTTATATAACATATCAGATGCATCTATATATATCTGCTGTACATTAAAGTTTGGGGTCAGTACGATTTTTTTTTTTTTAACCACGGCTGCATTTATCTGATCAAAAATAAAGGCATTCATTTTACTATTTATTTAACTTTTCTATTTTAATATATTTAAAATTGAAGTGATTCCTGTGATGGAAAAGCCAAATTTTCAGCAGCCATTACTCTAGTCTGCAGTGTCACATGATCCTTCAGAAATCATTTTAATATGCTGATATGGTGCTCAAGAATCATTTCTCATTATCCATATTGAAAACAGTTGTGCCGTTTAGTATTTTTATGGAAAATACATCTTTCATTATTCTTTGATGAATAGAAAGTTCAAAGAATAGCACTTGAAATAGAATTTGTAACAATGTTAAAGTCTTTACTGTCACTTTTGATCAGTTTAATGCATCATTGTTGAGTAGAAATATTAATTCCTTAAAAAATGAAACTGACCCCAAACTTTTGAAAGGTGTACACACACATGCAACAACTGGAGTAATATGCTTCATATTAGTATGACTGAAGTAATAGAATCAAAAAGCTGTCTCACTACACATTGTCTGCTCTTTTGTTTGTAATTCAGTCTATGTTATACTTGAAATCTTGTTTGATTGCTGGCCGCAGTACACAGTTCTAACAGTTCAGTTCGAGACAGTTCTAACTGAATGTAACAAGTACTAAATGGACCGGAGCTGAAAAGACTCCTTGGTCTGATGAGCTCTTGCTTTCCTTAAGAATAAGCACATACGTGCCTTGCACTGAACTGAGACCTTGACCATTAGGCCAGCTTTGAGTATCTGTGTATGTGAAAATACAGATCTGTAATTGACAATAATTCACAGTGCCATATATGTTTTGGATGTTTGCTGCTATATGTGTACAGTGCTTCTTAATGTTCATCTCTTCATAGGATCACTTTTGTCGGTGTGTGAATTATACAGTGACTTTCATGAAGGTTGACTTTTAAATGCTTTTTGGCTTTATTTGTCTGATGAAAGGTATTTTTAATCTTGTGCAGCACAAATTGTAATTTGGCACCAGAAGCACAACATGACTAAATTATCTAAAAGACCCTTTTGAGTCCTATTTTTTATTTTTTTTATTTGAATGAGACTCCCTCAGCCTTTTGCTTTAACTGTCTTTGAGAGGTTCAAGCATCATAATATGCACCCTGACTTGAGTAAAACATCATATTGTCTGACCTTTAAACCTCAATCAATTACTAGCTACTGTTAATCTATGAGAAATATGATTGAATTTAATCACTTGCTTCAGACAGCCAAAAGACAGTGATTCCTTTCATAAACCGAAAAGCCAAAACCGTAACCATAACTGCACAATTGATTTAATTAAATCATATACTGTCTGAAGGTTTCCTTGATGTCTGCATTGTGCCAACTATGAACAGTTAATGTGTTATTATAAGGCCATCGTCAGTACTAAGCAACTTTCAGTCATTGTTCAGGTCCATTATTGGTCAGTTTACTGTACACACATTTAGAGATTATATAGCCACATAGTGACTTTCTTTATAGAAGCCAAACAAAAAGTGTAAAGGGAAAGCAATATCATTTTCAGTAAAGTCCTTTGACCTTTATCCCAGTTTGATGGGCCATAAAATTTAGATTATTATCTTAAAGAATTACGAGTAATGAGACGGATGGCTAATGTACATCAATTGTCAGCGCAGACACTTGGCTAATTAGGTCAGTGGCCAAGGTAAAGAAACTCAAGGGTAATTGAGTCTGTCCGTTGCTGAGGGACAAAGGCCAATTTGTTCCCTGGCTTGTAGCAATAGTACAAATAACTGTTGGTGATGTATCCAGACTCCTTTCATCAGACTGACTAATGTGATAAGTTCAAGCGGTACATTTTTCTAATGTAGCATAATTTACTCTAAATGGTACTTAAATTTGAAATAGTGAGTTCCATTGTAGTGTTTAATTCATATTTGAGTCTAATTAAATACAGCAGGACCCGGCAGATGGGAGCCATGCTCTCCTATCACACATATTACTGTAATCTCACTGTCCATCACTTTTTATTTGTTTGTTATTGTCAAACTGCTGTAATTATTGTTTGTATGTGTGTCTCACTGCTGTAATTATTTATTGAACAATGGATGTCTATTTATATTACATTAATTATTAAAATACTCATGATTTCCAGTGTGTGGTGCTCATTTTAAGTCCTGCATCTTCTGCAAGTAAACACAGATTGTGAGTGCTGTTTGTATTATTTTCTCTGCGTAATTATAATATTTGTGGTGAATCATCACTATTGGAGTGGAGCAGATATTAATAATTTCACCAAACTGTCACCAAGAATTTGAAATCACATTGCTAATGCAGGTTGAAACAATAGTTTCTTTCTTTATCATCAGTTGATGTTTTGCTTTTTATGGGCTTGAGCTACTGTAGTTGCTTATCTTGACTCTTGCTGTATGTATTTCTCCACTAAACTTTTTCTGGTTTTTCTGTCTGCCTCTTTTTCTCTGTCTATCCTCTATTCTGGTTTCTTTTCCTCTTGCAGAATCGAATGCACGAGTCTCTTATGCTGTTCGATTCCATCTGTAACAACAAATTCTTCATTGACACTTCTATCATTCTCTTCCTCAACAAGAAAGACCTGTTTGCTGAAAAGATCAAGAAATCTCCCCTGAGTATCTGTTTCCCTGAATACACAGGTAAGAATGATTCCTGTTGTTATGAAGCCTATGAAAATGTACAGATTTTAACTCTCGTAACACAGAAGGATGTTTCTGATTGGTCAAGTCAGGGTTAGTGATGTCGGAAATCCATTAGTTTGGATTCACAGTATGAACACTAGACTCCGAGCATCCTACATTTTGAAGGCACTGTAATATGGGAGGTAAAGGATGGAGCAGTGCTGCTCAGAGCAGTAGCTGAATCTTGCGTGTGCAGTCATGGGTAAAAGGTGGGCACAGAGAGATGTCTGCAGGTCTGTCAAACTCTCTTCCAGCAGAATACAATTCACTGCCTCCGTTAGACCCGTTCCTGTTCGGCAGCACCCTCAGTGTTGCTTTCATGTACAATGGCCCCAAAAAGCATTTGGTCACTCTAGTCACACTTAAAAATGTATTTGCATTATACACAAAAATATCCAACCAAAGTTATTTCTTAAAAAAAAAATCACACTTTTAATTACACTAAATTTTAAATAATATTAATAATTAAATAATTAGAAATTAATAAAATGTTTAAATAGTATTTTAAGACAAAAGTATTTGGACAAATGTAGTGTATGTAATAAATTCATTATAATCAACATAAAATAAATGGATTGAATATAATAATAAATTGATCATGAAGTAAATGATTGAATAAATAATATCTAATATATCATTATCTTAATATATTCTGCAAAAACTGGGACAAATATTTTGACAATTACAGTGTTAAACGTTATTAAAGATATCTCCATATCTTTATACATTGTTCAGAATTAAGACAAGTATTTACACAATTATGGTATATGTATTAAATGTATAGTATATGTATAAACTAATAAATTAATAAACAATATACAGTATCTCAGCATCTTGATATTTTGTTAAAAAAATTAACAAAATATACAATACAATTAAATTTGTAAATTAATTGTAGTGAACTAATAAGTTAATTATTAAATGTAATTATAAGTTGATAAATGCAATATCTCAACATCTTGATATATTGTTCAGTGTTGTTTGTGTCCATAATTAATAAGATAAAGTTCATCTGTGGTTACTCTACTAGGACATCTGAGAAAAGCATTGTCTAGTATTACATGTGCATCATACATAACCAAGATACAGCAGCATCTCAATGGGACTCTTACTTCATAAGGAGCCAAGTTAAAGAATGCATGGCTTTTAGAGAACAGAAGAGAAGAGACATTTTTGAATGTCAGAAGTCACCAAGGTCATTTTTGGGTTAATGAGCATTTCGAGTGACAAGCACAAAGCCGATTTGAAGATCAGAGTACCACTTTTATGCCATTTTTAATTTTGGCATAATATCAGAACCTCTTTCTCTCACATACTCATTTGATCTCTGTATCCCTCCGTAGGTCCAAACACCTACGACGATGCAGCTGCTTACATCCAAGCACAATTTGAAAGTAAGAACCGCTCGCCTAATAAGGAGATCTACTGTCACTTGACCTGTGCCACAGATACAGGAAACATCCAGGTGGTGTTCGATGCCGTGACCGACATCATCATTGCCAACAACCTGCGAGGCTGTGGCTTGTACTGAGGCCCGCCCCCTCCCTCTCGAGCCACTTCTTTGGAAATGATTATTATTGAAAATGAAAGTTGGTAAATAATGATAATGATAATTTTAAAATAGGCATATACAAATATATAAATATATTATATATATATATGAAATGTTTTTAGTTTGTCTTTCAAAGAGCTGCCAACAGAACTGATTTCTTATAGAAACCCAGCCTTTATGGTTTTAGAACAAAGTTGGGACCTTTTTTGTGTTGTTTTTGTTTTCTTTGCTGTCGTACGTTTCGTTCTCCCTCGTTTTCCACTGTGTCTTTATCATTTTAACTAAACAACCCTCATTTTTTTTTTTTGATAAATGTTTTCTTTGACTATTTTTTTTATGTTTTATGTCATTGTATGTATATTTATTACACAAATATCAGTCAGGGGGATGACCTGTACATGTTTGCCTGGCTATATGAATTTACTTTGACGATAATGTGACGATAGCTAAATCCATGGTTATGCTAGTCTTGAGCACTATGGTTCAAGTCAGTTGTAGCGTGTCTTTGTTTCAGATTTTTAATCACTAGTACCGTTCCATATCATAGAGAATGGAATCACCAAGGCTTTTCTTACGTTTCGTCTCTACCCATCCCCGTCACTTCCGTAGGTCAGCTCTCTGGGGAAGGGCCTGGGCCGCTTGGCATGTGACCCCGGGCCTGTCGAACCAGTACGATGATTGCAAGTGTCATATCAGTGCCAACCTTCTGAGAATGACGTGTCTGGGAATAGTACTAGGAACACTAGGTCACTGTTATGAGAACTTACTAACATTCGTCTTGTGAGGAACTTTTGCTTTTGTATTGTTGTTGATTAATTTATTAATTTATTTATTGATCATCTGTCCCACACACTTCCTTTGTACTTACTACACCTCGTCCATTTTTCTACCTCTCGTCCGTCCGTTGTCACCCTTCCCTCTTCATTCCTCCTTTTCCCCAGGTTTCTTCCTGTTTTAGTTGGCTGGGTAATGGAGTCCCCGTCACTGATAGCATGACCTTTGTATAAAGAAACTGCTTCACATAGCTAATGGTGCGAAAATAAAGAATAAAACAAAATAAAAAGAACAAAAAAAGAGGAAAAAAAGAAAACATGGAAAAGACAGACACAGCAAAAAAGAATGGGCATCATGTGGGCGGGGTTACGGGGTGGGCGGGTAGATGTGGGGCTCAGGGAAACGATGTGGAGGCTTACAGACGAAGGTCATTGGGCTGTCAGTCTTTGTAGAAAGCTGTAGATCCTCCAATTCTAGAATCTTTATGAGTAGAAATAATTGGGAAAAAAAACGAAAAAAACAACGATGACAATAATATCAAACGACAATGATGATAACAACACCAATATCAATGATTATTCTGTAATATCATTAAAGGTATATTTCTTGTGCTTTGTAGCTACAGAACTTTTTTTCCCCTCTCTCCCCCTTTTTTAAAAAAAAAAAAGAATTTTGCAAGGGTTCCTGTGATCCACTCTTGAAACGTTCTTACTGACTTACCCATGTTGATGTTGATGAACTGTACCGATTCTTTTTGCCTGTTCGCCCTGCATTGCAATGTCTTTACTTAGCCTGAATTACAGTATATGTATTGATTTTTTTCATTTTTTTTGAACGAATCACTTTTTGGTGGCACGGCTCTGCCCCCTGTGCTGGAGAGGGCGGGGCTGTGCACGGCTGTACAGATTCATGCGCTTTCTCTTGGTTTTTTGAGAATTGTACTCAAACACCTTCCAGGTCTGCATAGAAAAGCACAGCTCTCACCTATCACACGTAGATTTGGAAAGATGTATCTCTCCTCCCTCTCTGCCTTCTCAGTTTGAAATTCAAAGAAAAAGAGAAAAAAAAAACTGTACAATTACCTTCACCACCGTTGATTTTGATTCTCCTTCCCTTCTTTTTTTAAGCCTTTCTTTTTCTCTCCAAGTGAATGCTTTTGTGCTGCTTTTTCTCCCTCTTCTTTAGTGAATGGTTGTTCTTTCATGTGGGATGTTCGTGCTGGAAAACCAATCGAATGTAGTGTTTACATTAAAAGCCACAGTTTTCATGACTACAACCTGGAGCTTTTCACTTTTGATTGTTATTCATTCCATTGCTAAACTGCATTGTCGTTTATGTATTTCACCGATTGCTCAAATGAATGAGGCCTCCAATGAGACGATACAGATACCATCAGAGATCAGTTAGCGTATGAACGAAAAGATGCGTTAAGGTAAACTTATCCACCATTAATCCAATACTAAAAGGACAGACAGTATTCACATGATTAAATGTAAGGTGATCTGTTTTAATTTAACATAAAGTACTACAACCTATTCACCAATGTGTGCTATATTTACTATACAAACTGTCAACATCTTATTATGCAATATAGGGGACATGGAGGAAGTGCGCTTGAATCCCAAGGGAAATAATTATGTCTCTGTGCCTCTTAAGTGTGTCTTCAGCCAG